GTTTGCAGATATGAATGAGTTTGTTTACTCTCCGACGACCTCGTGATGTCTTTGCACAGACATGACCTGAAGTCATTATTGCTTTTGGGCTTCTCTGTTTCCATGGCGACTGTCTCCGGGTTGGCTACTTTCCCAAGGTCACCATGGCAACTATCAGAAGGGAATCATGCTTGGGATGCTTTGGCTGGATTTTTCATGAATGATTAGGATGTGTGACACGATGCAGACGTGGAAATGGGGAGGGTTTGGGCTGGGCTGGAGGGTTGGGGGGGGAGAGAGAGGGAGAGGACTCCCTCCAGACAGGCTGCGCGCTCTGCGGTGCCTCTGGGTGTGCAGCCCTCGAAGCCGCCCTGTGTTCGGGGGGGGATCGGCACCTCGCACCCTCCCCGCCGGGGGAGCGATAGGCAGAGGCTGTGATGGTGGCACGGCTGCGGTCGTCTCTCTCGCGGTAGGTACCCGACGGACCGCCGTGCTGCCGTCACCGCGGGGTGATGGAGGTTTTGGGTGGAGGTGCGGGCAGGTGGGTTTTCTGCAAGGCGCTGATGGAAGGGGTGTAGTCGCCGGCTAAGGTGAGAGTGAAGGGCAGCGTCTCGGCAGGGGATGGTCTCTCTGTCGGTGGACATGCCTCCACGTCACTAGAAAAATCGGGCAGGTCAGCTCCTGCAGCCTGGGGCTGAGAGGATGGGGAAGCAACAGTCTTGGTGTGTTGGGAGAGGCGAACTCCTGCCTTGCTTTGTTATCGGGGGGCTTTTGTTTCTGTTGTTTGGGTTTTCTGGTAGCGTCTCTTTTGGGTGGGGACAGCACTGAAAGCAGGTTACGAAGCAGGCAGCTTCTTTCTGGGTTGCTGATTCAATTTCGAGCTGGGTTAATAATAATCAAAATTAGAATGAAGGGAGTTGTTGTGTTGTGGCTTTCCAGTGCCTTTTATGAGCGGAGGTAACTCTTAATTCAGTCCCTAATAGGCCGTTCTCAGCGTCTGGGATTCCTCCGGAGGGAGGTGAGCGAGTGACTGGGCCTGGGAGGCCGCTCTCCGCGCTCCCCTTGAGAAGGGGCGGCATATTGCAAGGCGGTGTGTGGTGGTTAGCGTAACTGTTGTTTACAGGCGGGAGCTGGTGTCCTTTCCCCCCTCCCTGCCCTGTCTTCCCTGCTTAATCTCAGTGTAGTTAATAGCAAAATACGAGGTCTTTAGCACTAAAAAGCAATGCGCTTGTCAACAAAAATTTCTCTTTCTCGTGTCTGCATGGGGTGAACTGATCTCTGATTCCATCCCAGTGTTCTAAACAGCTCTGTGGTTATTTCTTTTAATGGTGGTTGAGTTGGGGGCTTGGACCGTGTGTTGTCTTCCTACCTTCATCTCTGAGATTACTGTAACCCGAAAATCTTGTTTTGTTTTTCCAGTTGCAATTTCTGAGCAGTTTTGTCCGGAAGACTGTGCTCAGGTTATGACGACTAATCCCAAACCGAACAAGGCATTAAAGGTAGGGAAGAAGGGCGAGCGGGCGATGCTGGGTGGCAGGGGAGGCTGTCACAGATCTGTGTGACATCGATTGTACGTGACTTCTTTTTCACTTGGAGAGACTCTTACAAACGGGTGCCAATATAATTTCCCACTATCTACAGGAAAGGTTAGGGTAGAACAACACTGGTGCTACCCAGAAAGAAGTCTAAAGACTCTGGGATGGCGTGGAGGCTAGTGTATCCCAGTTGCTGCCCGAGAGACTTTTGACTATAGCAGGTATAGGCAGCATCCTGAAACTGGTGCTCCCAGGCTTGTCAATGAAGTACTTTTACTCTCAGGACTGGGAGTCACTGGGGGAAGGACGTGTTCAGCTGGTGTCTATCAGATCCACGAAACAGTGAACGCCTCAGACACACCAGCTTGGTGGTGGTCTGCGCATGGGCTGTGCGTGCAGTGTCTCAGTTTCTTTCCAGTGTCTTAGCTCTTCGTTCGAGATGTCCTGCAGTCTCTGAAGAGACCAAAGGATGATATCTTAAAGGGCTCGGGCTCGATGATCTTGAAGGTCTTTTCGAACCTAAATGATTCTATGATTCTGAAAATAATTGTGGCAGTAAACCTGCTTGAGAAAAAGGCACAAGGCCTTGGTGTCTTTCTCAGGTAACTTCAGAGTCTGGCCTGTGCACCAGGAAAACCAAATCGGGCTGTGCTCCTCGAAGCCAAGCAGGGTTGGTTTTGTTCACTACTTGGATGAGCAGTCTTCAACAACAAGCCATGAAATGCTGAATTAAACCCCGCATACAAGTGGCTATTCTGCTTTTGAGATGCTGCACTGGCGTCCCAGTGTTGTGCTGGGAAAAGATGTCATCTTTATCGTTCAGTATGAATTCTGTGTGCTTACAAAGGAACTCAAAGGGCTTCAGTCTGCTTTACGTTTATCTCCTTAAAACCTCCCTGTTCAGTTCACGCTGGGTAAGGCTCACTGCTTTCTCTGACTTAAAAAGGGTTACCCAAACCCAGACGACAGCAGTGCTCACATCTCTGCCATCTTTTATCCAGATGTTTTAGTGGAGCGTGTGCTCCCCGCAGTGCTTTGGGGGTGTTTTCCAGGTAGGGGTGTCACGTTGCTGAGGGGTGGCCTGTCTCTCTTTGCTGTCCAGAACGTCCGTTCACGTAGGGTTGCTGCTACCCCTGTGCTGTTGGTATTTGCAGGTAAAGGAGGAGTCAGGAGAGAATGCCCCAGTGCTGAGTGATGATGAACTCGTGTCAATGTCCGTACGGGAGCTGAACCAGCACCTGAGGGGTCTCACCAAAGAGGAGGTCATCCGTCTGAAGCAGCGGAGGCGCACGCTGAAGAACCGGGGCTACGCTGCCAGCTGCCGCATCAAGCGTGTGACTCAGAAAGAGGAGCTAGAGAGGCAGCGGGTTGAGCTGCAGCAAGAGGTGGAGAAGCTGGCCAGAGAAAACAGCAGCATGAAGCTAGAGCTGGACGCCTTGCGCTCCAAGTACGAAGCACTCCAGACCTTTGCTCGTACTGTGGCGCGAGGGCCTATTACCCCGACCAAAGTTGCCACCACCAGTGTCATCACCATTGTGAAATCAGCCGAAATCTCATCCAGTTCTGTGCCGTTTTCAGCAGCGTCCTAGTGTCCTCGGTGGGGGGAACTAGCAGCCTTTCAGAGGGGAGGAGAAAAGGCTCTTATGCATTGTTCCGGAGTCTTTGGTCACGTCAAGAATTGGCATTTTAACAATTCTCTTCCAAAAGTGCAAAAAATAGAAAGAAAAAAAAAATAAAAGAAAAAAACCCAACCAAACCCCAAACCTACAAAGGGAACTTAACTGGCTGCTTCTGTCTGGACTTGGTGGCTCCATCAACCTCTCGTGTCCAGGATTTGAGCTCTGTATGCAGTACAAATTGCGAGATCTGCTTCCTCCTTCCCCCTTCCTCCCCAAATCCCTCTCAGCCGTGGGCAGCTTTCCAGCTGGGAGAAGATACCTGAGGAGCCTCCGGAGTCTTCGTGAATGATGCTCAAGAGCCAGGAAACAGATGGACCGTAGAAGTCATCATGTGAGATGAATGTATGGAAAAAAGAGTTTCCTTTAGTGGCATCCTACTCCCTGTAAGAAGGGTCTCCCCTCCCTTCCCCACTTCCATCTGGTACTACCAGGGCAGGGACATAGGCTTTTTGGATTAGATTTCGTCCTGCTATGAGTGGATGGGAGCGGGAGGACGATGGAGACTAATGCTTGGGTCTGACCACACCCATTAGGAATAACCTTTTGTTTTCAATCCATGCTGTTAAAATATGGAAAAATATATGTTTTACATATTTTAATACGCCCCATTACCTGTGTGGCCTATAAAAACTACATTGCAACCTCCTTTATTCCAAGCCCAAGTTTCCCGATAGCTCCTTCCCGAAGGTGTGCCTGTGAATTGGGTATATTTATGCAGTTCATTTCTTCCAAATGATCCGCGGTCTTGAAGTAGCGGCTTCGGGGGTTTTTTTTTCTGGATTCTCTGAAGCTTAAGGGAAGGAGGGGTAGTAAATGCTGTGAAGAGCTGTGTGATGGGGAGGAGAAGAGGAGACGAGGAGGAAAAATGCTGCAAGTATTACCAGGTGGAGGCAGAATTGGCTGCGAGGAGGTGGGACAGTTCTGCTGGGATCAGCACTATGAGAAGGGTGTTTGTGCAGAGGATTTCGGAAAGATGTTTTTAAAGCACTGAAGTGTAACTAGAGGGCAATAGCGTTCAGACGGGAGGAGAGAAGTTGTAGAGCCTCCTCTGACAAAAGCATGGGTAGGTTAGCAATGAACGTCCCAGCTGGAGAGCTGGGCTCACCAGTCTTTGATGGCCAGAGAAGGGCTATGGGGAGGTCGGATGGGAGCTGGAAGAGACTTTTTCTCTCCATAGCATGTCAGGCGCTGAAGTTGGGATCCAAAGAGTACAGTGAACAACCCTCAGTGTTCAGACAACCTGTGTGAAATGTGACCCTGAAACTTGACGCTTTCTCTTGGGAATGGGTGAATGATCCCGAGAGGCGCACGGAGGGCAGGATGGAAAATTGGGGTGTGCGTAAGGGATGGAAGAATTGGGATTGAGAAGTCGTTCGAATGGCTCTGAGCAGTGGTTTGGGAGAGGGATTTCTGGCTCGGCAGTGGGCAGGAGGTGGGAAGCTGAAAGGAGAGATTCTGCTGTTGCGCAGCAGCACTGAAGAGACGAATGTTTCCAGGTTACTGTAAAAAAAAAAAAAAAAAAAATAGCTATGTTGGTGTTTGTGTGTTTTGTTGTTGTTTTTTTTTTTTTCTTTTTGAAGTAGGAAAGTAAAGGGACTGTGAGTTTTGCAGGGCAGGTCAGAGACTTGTGGAATGGACGATGCCTGTTGTCACGCAGGTGAGAAGAGAATGAGATTGCTGAACTTTAAGCTGAGGAAAAGAGCTTAGAGGGTTTGGGCTCCAGAACAGAAAACAAAGGTCACGGAGAATTCATGAATGTTTTGGACTGAAAGAGAATAATCAAGTGCCCCCGTTGTTGCAAAGGGGACAGTGAACTGGCACCTGACACCCAGTGTGATTTGTTGTTTGAGGCTTTGTCTTGCCTTGAGTGGCAGTAAGTTTGTAGAAATTTAGTGAAGCCCTACTTGTCTTTGGAAGAAGTTGTTAGCTTGCTTTTTTCTTTTTTCTTTTTTTTCACCTTGTCATTGGAGTCTCTGGATTTCCCAGGAGGGTCCTTTGTGAAATAGGTTAATGAAAAGAGAAACCGCAGACTTGGTTCTCGTTCAGTCCTCAACATCGACATCCGTGACCTTACTGAGCCAGAAAGGGTGTAAGTGAAACGCTTCCTGAAGGCTCGTTACCCCTGCCAGACCCACGTGTTATGGAGGGGAGCAGGGAGTTTCCTTCAAGTGATTTTCCAACAGGTAGAGTTTGGATGACACTTAGCGTTACCTCATTTCTCCTCCACTCCCTCCCCATCTCCGAACGGGCAGATCGATGTCCTGTGTATCAGTACCAGTTATTGACTCCCACAGCAGAAGCTGAGGAAGAGAAAGATGTTACTGTCATTTCCTGGTCCTCTCATGTTCTCCAGCTCGCAAACATTGGAAACTTTCCCAGACCTTACAGGTGCCTCCGAAAACAGGCAAAATGGAGACTCCTGGCACTGTTGGGGCTTTAAATGAAAACTTTAACGAAAAAGGCCAGTTGACTTGAAAATGCCCAAATGCTTCCAGTCTTTAAAACAGCTCCAGAGCTCCATAACATTCCTGGCTAGATAGGGACACCCTCTGTCTGCCCTTGACCCCCCGCGCCGGGGAAATCAGACCAGTCGCACCGAGGGGGACGGAGGTCAAACTTTGTTCCGCGGGGTCTTCTTGCTGTTGGAATGAGTTGAGAAACATATCTTTACGTGGCACTTCCCTTGCGGCCGAGTATTTCTTTTTTCTTTTTTTTTTTTTTTTTTCCAGTTCTTGGAAGGGTGCCAAAGGCTTGTCCAAGTGATTGCTAGTTTAGTGCTGGTAGGCACTTAAAGTTCTGGTCACTCGATAAAGAACAAGAGGCCTGGGTGTTGTTAAAGCTGTTGATACCATAGCCATGGTAGGTAATCCATATTGGATATCCATAAGGACCACGTGGAAATATTTAAAGAGAGAGAAATATATATATAAATATATAATTATATACATTTTATCGTACAGATTTTTCGTAAAAAAAAAAAGAAAAAAAATTAATTTTTTTTCCAAGTTTGATACTGTAAATCTTTATTAAAAGAAATTGCCGGTCCAGGGCTCCCTGGGTGGTGACCTGGAGGGGAATGAAATGTCCTGGCTAAACTTCCACAGAGGGATCAGAATTGCAAGGTAACGTGGAGGGAGGAATGACCCGAAAGCTGTTGACCGCCTTGGAGACCCAGCTCCTCCGCCCTTGGAGGGCCCTCCAGCTTGGGGTTGTCGCATTGCATTCCTCTGGGGTTCGGTTCGTTTCTGTTGGGGTATTTTTTTTTCTGTTTTGTTTTTCTTTTTTTTTTTTTTTTTTTTTTTTTTCTCTCCGTCCTGCGCTTGCAAGCCTGACACCCAGGGCGAGCGCCGTGTGGGGAGCTGGCCGCTGCCCGCAGCATCGCCCAGGCGGCTCTGGCAACGCTCCCCCACAGCCGTACCTCTCGCTTGTCTCTCTGCTGCCGTAGTTTGGATGCCGGGGCTCCCTTTCGCTGCCCCTCTTAATTTGTGTGTATCCCCCTGCTCTCCCCGGCCCCGCTGAAGAGCGGGGGCTCTGGATTTGAATGCTGGGATCCTCTCCCCTGGGTCTGGCCTTCCTTTGGTTGCTCTCCATCCGCAGTGTGAGGTGGGAACCGCGGGCTGGGCGGGAGGCAGGAGAAGAGGAAAGCGTCGGGCAGGGACCGGGAGGGACATCTTTGTTCTCGTAGACCTGTTTGCTGTGCTCTGTATCGGGAGTGGGGAACCTTTCCCTCCAGGGCAGCTCCAGATCCCTTTGAAGCAAGCCAGCCTCTCTGCTCTTGCCCAGTTCTACGTCTGTCGGAGGAGACCCGCAAAGCGCACGCTTAGAGACCCGGGTGACACCGCAGCTGCGGGGACGGCCGGGGAGGGGACGAGGTGCTGGCGGGTGAGCCGGTGCGGAGGCGAGCTGTGGCAGGGCCGGGCGCGATGCCATGGGAGTGCAGAGCAGTCAGGCCACCGGACGGCTCAGACCCGGGGAGGAGGAGAAGGTGGCATATTTTTTTTTATTTTTTTTTTTTCTCTCTCAAATCATTTAAACTTCATTGTCATGATTGTTTTTATTTAAAAAAAAAAAAAAGAAACAAAACAAAACCGAAAAACTTTTGTAATGTGGATTTGTTTTCCTTCGTCTGTATTTCAGTCTGCTGGGGTGTTTCCGTAGATGGTGGATACTTGCTTTCATTTTTTTAATGATAGAAGTCTTCTGTTTTAAGTTGTTTTTTATCACCAGCTCATTCTATCCTCTGTGGTTACTCAGTAATTTCATTTCAATATTTATTTTTGTGCTGCTTTTTTATTATAAAATAAATTATTGATATACCAAGCAATGTGGATTCCTGTTTGTAAGGCGAATAGCCCTGTGTATGTGTCCATTACTTTCTCTTGACAGCCACAACGTAATTTATTGCTGTAAATTTAGCTGCAGTGACTGGTTTTTTTGTACCTTTCCAATAAAGCATTTTCTGGTTTCAGACTTGCCCTGGTCTATGGTCAGCATTTTGGAGCTCGAATTGATCTTCAGTGGAGTGTTTTTCCTCGGTTTTCTTGCCTGTCTGTCCCCAGCGTGGCGTACAGCTGACCGTCGGCTGCGGCGCTGCCGGCGAGCGATGTGTTTTTGGGAGGCAGGCTGGGCAAGCATCCCACCCAGCCCGGCGTAGCCAGCTCGCCCGTCTCCCAGCCTTGCTGCGATGCTTCCTCGCCGTGTTTGGAACGTGCCCAGGGGATAGATAGCTCTGATCCAAGCTGCTGGTCTGGCAGATCCCATGCTCGGACCACCTTTATGTGTTCTCTTCGCCTGGGCTGTGCCTCTGTGTGTGATGGGGGTGTGTTTGGTGGTGCGGAATGGGGAGTGATAACTGAGCAGGCGCCCGCCCGCAGTGGTGATGCCGAGAGCATCACAAGGCCACTCTTGGCTCAGAGCCCCTGTGCTGGCTGACAGGTCACGGTGCTGGAGGGACCCGCTCCCCTCCTCTCCTTTGGGTTGAGAAATATCCCTTCACCGCTTTCCTGGGCGATATTTCATGTTTCTGCTTTTCCCTGT